ACCGTGGTGTAACGCGTGTAGTCGTCGACAACCAGCAAAAAGTACCGCTCACGGCCCTGTCCCTGGACGCGGGCTGGGCCCCACACGTCCAGGTGGAGCGTCTGCAGGGGAGCCTCTGTGGGAGGAAACGAGGAGGAGTGAGGAGCGGCGCGCTGCCGCCCCTCGACGCAGGGAATGCAGGGCGGCGCAGGCGAGGGAGGGAGGGCAGGCAGAGACCTGGGAAGCCCAGAGACCAGGGAGCGAGAGTGCATGCCACGAAGGCGAGGAAGGGAGGGGTGACCAAGGCGGTGGTGCCACAGAAGCGTGTCGTGCGACAGGCGGCGGCACTCACACTGGGTAGCTACCTGAGCAGACGCGTACAGCTGAGGAGACAAAGGAGTGTAGCGTGAAACAGTGGTGAGGGTGTACAGACTAGACCCCGGCTCACGAGTGAACGTGGCCAGGTGGCGGCCAGTCTTGGAGCACGTGCAGATCGCCACACGCTGCCCTCCAGGAGTCCAGGTGTCAACCCAGTGATCCTGGAGGACGGCGTTGCTCACCAGGTTCGTAGAGAACGAGGGAACGTGGAGACCTGACAGCTCACCAGACGGGACCGCCGGGCACGGGAGCACAGTCGTGGCTCGTGCAAGCACTGGGCCCCCAGAGGGGTCAGCCAGTGAGACAGGGACAGGTGCAGGGAGGGGAGTGACGATGGTGCTATCGCGAAAGAAACAGCGGGAAGCACCAGAGTCAAGTGTAAACGTGTGCAAGGCCTGAGTCGACTCAGTACCAAGGGGAGCAGACTCACTAGCACCTAGGGCTGCAGCCCTTATACCGGGGTCAATACCAGGATCAGGCGGCACACACAAGTAACAGTCACCCTCAGCACTAACAGTCAATGCATACATGGCAGCAAGAATAACATCATAGTCCAGATCAAAGATAGGCACATCACGCCTAAGCAGCTCGGCCCAGTTGGGGAACTCAGTAGCATCAGGATACTTGGCACGCCAGGCGTCACTAAGCCTAGCAAAACAACGATACTCAGTGTGAAAACCGTTGCAGGGGCGACCCTTGCGGGGGCCAGTACGAATGACATAGGGGCAGCGGTCAGAACCCCGAGACGCCCCACGCCCAGCATACCAGTCATTGAGCTGCTGGGAGGTGAGGGGAGGAAGCTGCTGCTGCTGCTGTGGCTGCTGCTGCTGCTGCTGCTGCTGCTGCTGCTGGCCACCAGTGGGGCCACCCTTCTGGCCAGATCCACCCCCACTCCCACCTCCACCGCCACTGCCGCTGCCTCCTCCCCCACCACCGCCGCCGCCGCCTCCACCGCCCCCGGTCCTGCCGCCACCCCACCCACCGCCTCCACCCCCACGTCCACCCCCACCACCTCCACCACCCCCGCCGCCTCCACCACCGCTCCCTCCACCGCCACCTCCGCCACCCCTGCCACCCTTGCCGCCCCTGCCACCACCACGCTTCCCACCAGGAGCGGAAGCCGCTGCGACCTTCTCCGCACCGAGGAAGTCGACAGCAGTAGCAGCAGAGGCGTAGGAGGGGTCAAGAGGGGAGGGGGAGCACCCCTCAAAGAGGGGAGTGCGGGGAGTGCCACGAGCAGCACCGACAGCGAGGATGTTCTTCTCTGCTGCGACCAGCTGCTGCTCGAAGTCGTCCAGAGTGATAGTTGGAGGATCCTTGGCAAGGAAGTGATCCCTGACAGAGCGAAGAGTGTCAGGGAGGCGGGTGACGAGGATGTAGAGGGTGAAGTACAGCGGGGGGGTGTTCGTGGCGAGGAACTCGTCGGTAAGAGCGGCTCGAAAGCGGGCGTCACTAGCGCGGAGGTGAGTGATAAGGTCGGCAGCAGTGTGAAACGAGGCTAAGTCTGGGAACAGGTAAGGCAGGATGAGACTACCAACGGTGGCTGTGGCCGGGGCGGAATAGCGGGCAACGACAGCATCATACAGCGTCTTAGCAGTCTTAAGCTGGTTGAAATGCGCGCGCTCAGAGATCGGTAGGTGATTGCGAATAACAAGGCGCGCGACTGCGTCGCGGAGCTCCCACTGTGCTCGTTCAGGGGCAGGAGCAGTCTCAGCGGGAGTAGGGACAGTGCCAGTGACATAGGCTAGTAGTGATACTCCGTCTGCGACGTCAGTCATAAGGTAAAGCCGCAGATCACTAAGCCAGGTGTCAAACTCGATGGGGCGGCCGTCAGGCTCAAAGGCGAGAACAGTAAGGGTCGCCATGGTTGCAGCGCAGGCAAAAGTAGCAGGCACAGGGTGCAGGCTCAGGCAGCAGGCTCAGGCAGCAGGCAAAGGCTGCAGGTTCAGGCAGCAGGCAACTGTAGCAGGCAGGTGCGCAAGGCAGACGGTAGAGACGCAAGGCAGGCAAGAAAAAGACAGGGTAAACCCTAAACCCTGGCGGCAGGTACAGGCGGACGCAATGCACGGGGCAGCAATGCGCTGTACGAGCGGCGAACGCGACGTGCAGGGCCTAGGCGGGCTGCGTGCGGACGGTAGGTGCAGCGCGCAGCTCTGGAGTGGGCCGCGCAGGCAGCAAACACGACGCGCGGGGCGAAAAGGGGCTGCGCGCGAGCAACAGATGCGACGCGCGGGCTGCAGACGGGCTGCGCGGGGCCTTAGCGGGCTGCGCGAGGCAGGGACGGGCCGCGCGCGAGCTGTGCGGGCTCAGGGCGGGCTGCGCGGGCGACGGACGGGGCGCGACGCGGCTGGCAGCAGCAGTGCGCGCTAAAAAAAAAGGCGTGCGCGCGCAGCCGAGGCGCGCGCGGGCAGCAGGCTAAGCTGACAAACAGGCAAGGCAGGTAGGCAGGCCGTTGGTGAGGTAACTTAGTAACTGGTGGGCCCTTAAACTTAGGTCCTAAGAACCTGCTCTAGATGCCATGTCGAGATAGCTAGGCAAGGTTGAATCGATTGACGAGAGAGTTTGGTACAAGAAACACAACCCTAAAGTGTTATCCCCTATAACATCTACCCCACTACAGCCTACCAATATATATCACACATATATATCATTTGACATAGGGAGGCATCAACCCTAAACACCTTGCCTCTAGGTGTTTAGGGTTGATGCATCCCTATCGCATGCCTTACCTATGGGGGTTTCATTTTTGCGGCGGGCAGCGCTGTACAGAACTTAACTAAATTCTCTTGAAAGTTTGTGATAACAATAAAACAGATCGCGGTTCACGCGATCACAGGCTCGCCACGTGGCGAAAATAAATCAAACCGCTCTTCCGCGGGTTTGAGCGAAATTCTCACTTGTAGTAGAGCCTTTTCTATGTCCGCCCGAGGTGCATAGCAGGACTCGTGCACGAATCATGCAGCATTGTCTTTTTTAATTTACAGTTGTTCTCGTTTATAATCCGAAGGAGAAACACGCCGCGCGCGGACTATATGTCAAAATGTCTGAAAAAACGGGCAAACGGGACCCTATAATCCCAAATTCGAGAAAAGTGCATGAAAAGCGGTTTTTTTGTCTCTACTAGTTGTTGTTCCTTGTCATATACGTACGTATGGACCGCGCTTGCTTCAACTTCTCGTCGAACGGTTTTACGCGTTTTCAATGATGCGTGAAAAACGTGTCAGAATCCCAGCCACTAACCACTGGGATAAAATGGCTTGTTTGTGTAGCGGGTGAGTGCGCTCATAACCCCCCAGGCCAACATGCCTGTAACCCTTCCCTAGGATCAATCGGGGATCACCAGTGGACCTCTTGACACCCCCCCGCACTGGGATGCCCGAGGTGCACACACCGGGATTCGAACCCGAGACCTTCGCTCTGATACCATGTCAGAATCCCAACCACTAACCACTGGGATAAAAGGGCTTGTTTGTGTAGCGGGTGAGTGCGCTCATAACCCCCCAGGCCAACATGCCTGTAACCCTTCCCTAGGATCAATCGGGGATCACCAGTGGACCTCTTGACAAAACGGGCAGAAATAAACAACATCGATTATGTTTGATGCCATAATAACTATGAATTTTTGTTTTTCCTTCCTGTCAGCGAGATTACTGAGATGTCATCGTGGAGCGCGCTAGGAATCGCGCGACGGGAATAAGAAACAAGCGCGGTCAAGAGAAACAAAAAATATCAGTTTTAAATGTTTACTTCAAAACAAAACTGCCTTTCGTAGCATTTTCCGTAAATGTTCATGGTACTGTGTAATGAATATACATTCATTACTGTAGAGGCTGCTCCTAGCGAGGACAGCCCGAGCTCTTCGCGTCAGATTCCGGTTCGGCCTACATTTCGGACCGAACCAATTCCGAGTCGCCCCGCACCAATCGCGACGATCCCAAACCTCGCACGTCACGAGGTTCTCGTCTAGCACGTTTTCGACCCTATAAATGCATGCTTCTTTATCATTCTCGTCATTCTGTAATCACGTTCTCTTTATAAAGTCTTCCGCGCACTCTGTCTAGTAAAACTCATAACATACTGATAGGTGCAATGAACCTGGTCAAAAAAGGGACTGTAGAGGAGGGGCCACACCTAGGAATTAAAGGAAAAAGCTCCTCTGTCTGAAAATGGGACTTTGTTAGCGCGGGCCTTAATAGCGGAACCATTTGTATCTTTTGGAACATGAGACGGAGGGTCTTGCGGCGTACAACAGACGAACTTCAGCGCGTTCCGTCGGCCAAGACTGTAACACTACACGTGATTGAGACTGACGATACGTACCGTTGAAGCGAGTAAGAGAACAGCTATCGTTGCTCACCTTCGTGATCAGCTGTCTAGAAGCCATCTCCATGCATAGTATCAGACGGAACGGAAGGACTGACGGAATAACTGACAGATAGACTGACAGTGAGATCCCGGGGAGGCGACACGACAGCAACAAAGTCGACAGCGACAGCAACAGATTCCTATCTGTCGACAGCGGCAGTCGCGGCGACTCGCCTCAGCAGCACCCCGGTAGTCCGGCGACCAGCTGCGTGCGAGACAGCACTCAGCGTGACCCCCGCCGTGTTCCCCCAGATTGCGATTCAACAAAAGGACGCGAGATGACGACATCTCTAGGCCTGGAGCAGCAGCAGAAGCAGCAGCGATCCGGCAACGCTTCGGCCGTTGATCGGAGTGTCAGCGAGACGCGTTACTCCGGCGATGCGACAATTACCGGCGACATTTGCGGAAAGGGGGAAGGGCGCTTGCTGCTCGCAGTGGCATGCGACACTCGCGAGGATAGCGGCGCATCGCCGGCAGAAGCGACACCTGGGGGTGATGGCCACGGCACCAACAACGGTGCTGCTCCTGCTCCTGCTGTTGATGATATCCAGGAGGAGGCGGAGGAGGAGGCGGAGGCGGAGGAGCAGGCGGAGGCAGAGGCGGAGGCGGAGGAGGAGGAGGAAGAAGGCGAGGGAGACGACGGAGAGCCGGGCCTGTGGTCGGCATTGACGTTCGCATGGGTGAGTGCTCTGCCTGCTCGGCTGGCTGGTTGGTTCCATTCAAGTCGCTGGTTGGTTCCATTCAAGTCACTCGATTTCTTCCGCGTGACTTACTTCCCTTCCCTTGCCTCTCATCTCCAATTCCTCCCCCTCCCTTTTCTTCCCGCCTTTCCCCTTCCCGCCTTCCGCAATGCACAATGAAACCAACCAACTAATGCCGCACGCAGGTGACCCCCATAATGCGCATGGGCGCGCGCACAACGCTGCAGCTGGCGGACCTCCCCCGGCCTCCGCAGACCTGGCGCGCCGATTGGCTGGACGCGCAAACGGCTCGCATTATGGAAGGGGAGCAGAGGGAGAGGGGGCGGAAGGACGAGGAGGAGCAGTGTGAAGGGGAGCAGGGGGGAGGGCGGAGGGGAAGTGGTCAGTCAGTGGTGTCGGGCGGATGGAAGGCGCGGGGCAGGGGGAAGTGGCCGTTTTGGGCGGCTCTGTATTGGCCGCACCGGTGGGCGCTGCTGCAGCTCACAGTGATGTTTCTCGGGGAGTCGATGCTGCATGTAGTCAAAGCCATGCTGCTGTATCGCATCGTGAGTGCTGCTGTATCGCATCGTGAGTGCTGCTGTATCGCATCATGAGTGATGCTGTATCGCATCATGAGTGATGCTGTATCGCATCATGAGTGATGCTGTATCGCATCATGAGTGATGCTGTATCGCATCGTGAGTGCTGCTGTATCGCATCGTGAGTGATGCTGTATCGCATCATGAGTGATGCTGTATCGCATCGTGAATGCTGCTGTATCGCATCGTGAGTGCTGCTGTATCGCATCGTGAGTGATGCTGTATCGCATCATGAGTGATGCTGTATCGCATCGTGAGTGCTGCTGTATCGCATCATGAGTGCTGCTATTGCATGGTGAGATGATACTTGCCAGTGGGCGTTCATGACACCGCACCAGTGAGCGAAATGTTTATGTGTGCGTTCACGCATACGTGAATGTGCATAAATGATATCGTGAACATCGAGTCTAAGATTCATCATTTCAGGAGCCATACCCGTCTTACCCTCTTCCCCACTCCCCCTCACTCTCCATTTCCATCAATCCCCCCTCGCTCTTCTCCTTTCCCCCTCACTTTCCACCAGGTCGCCTATCTGGAAGGGTGTGACAGCAGCAGCAGTGAAAGCAGCAGCGGCATGGAAGGGCAGTGCGGGCCTACAGAGGGCTACCTCATGGCAGCGGGGATGGGTGCAGTGGCGGTGGTGCTGGCTGTGGTGACCCAGCAGCTGTGCTACCGTGCATACGTCCTCTCCACCAACACACGCACCGCCGCCATCAGTGCAGGTGAGATTGCCATCAAAATCAGTCAGAATGCCTCTGTTTCTTTTCGCCCATCCCCTCCCCCTGCCCTGCCCCTTTCCGCTTCCTCCCCTCCCACACGCTCCCACTCCCCGTGTTGTTGTCTCTAGTCCTATACCTTTCCGTTCGCAGCCCAAGCTCCCAGCTTCTGCCACCCAAATCGGTCAAACTGCTTCTGCTTCTTCGCCCATCCCTCCGTCCTTCCCGTAACTGTCCGCACCGCACCGGTCTTCCTCCCCTTCCCTCCCACACGCTCCATCACCTTCCCCTTCCCCTGCAGTGCACCGCCACCTCCTCACCCTCACCCCCTCCCCTCCCACACCCTCCCCTCCCCTCCCATCCCCCCGCCTCTCCCCTTGCAGTGCACCGCCACCTCCTCACCCTCACTGCCAGCGCGCTGAGCCACGTCAGCAGCGGGCACTGCATCAACCTGCTGTCCAATGACGTGCGCCGATTGGAAGACCTGGTTTTCTGCTGCCAGGCTCTCTGGGTGGTGAGGGGAAGCGGGCGGTGGGATGGGGGGCATGGGGGTTGATGGATGGGGGATGGGGGATGGGGGATGGGATGACGGGGATGATGGATGGGGGATGGGGAGTGGGGCATGGCATTTCTTGTGACTCACTGCCTTCGTCCACTTCACACATTCTTTGTGTCTTGCGTGATTTTTTTCCCTGCTTTCTTTACTTTCTCTGCTGTTTCTTCCGTTATCCAGGCCCCAATAGAGCTTGTGCTGGTCACGTGGCTGATAGCAAGGGAGATCGGATGGGTGCCCACCATCGCCGGCATCGGCACGCAACTGCTGCTGCTTCCACTACAGGTGCATGCTTCGTTGTCTTGTCACCGACGTTCGTGGCCTCTCTCTCTCCCTCCCTCTTCCTACGCTCCCTCTCTGTCTGGCTGCCCCTTCATTACCCGTCAACCTCACACTCTCTCAAACGGTCCTTATCTTCATTATAAGGCATTACAAGGTAGATGCAAACTCATGCAAGACAAGCAAACCCTTCTGCCCTCCATGCGTCACTCCCTTTATTCCCCTTGCGCGTTCGAATCTCTCTCCTCCCTCCTAAATAACCACACAACACCAGCTGGCGTGTGGGAAGTGGAGGGTGCGGCTGCGGGCGAAAACGGCAGAGGCCACAGATGCACGCGTCAAGCACACAGAGGAGGTGGGCAGTTGGGGAGAGAGGTGGGCAGTTTAGGGAGAGAGGTGGGCAGTTTAGGGAGAGAGGTGGGCAGTTTAGGGAGAGAGGTGGGCAGTTTAGGGAGAGAGGTGGGCAGTTTAGGGAGAGAGGTGGGCAGTTTAGGGAGAGAGGTGGGTAGTTTAGGGAGAGAGGTGGGCAGTTTAGGGAGAGAGGTGGGCAGTTTAGGGAGAGAGGTGGGCAGTTTAGGGAGAGAGGTGAGCAGTTTAGGGAGAGAGGTGGGCAGTTTCGATGGGGGAGATGGGGGGTTACAATTTCTGAGACATGTCAAATATCCACGGATGCACGCGTCAAGCACACAGAAGAGGTGGGCGGTTAGGGAGGGGGGAGAAGGGAGGGAAAGGGGGGCATGCTTTTGAGAATTCTCAAAGAGGGGGCGTGGGGGAGAGGACGAGGGGTCTGATGGTGCAGGGGAGGAGAGGGGTTGGATGGGGGAGGGGAAAGTTGTAGGCGGCAATGTAGGGGCAAGGGTCTGGGGACTGGAGGCCGGGGCGGAGGAGGAAAGACATAAAAAGATGGCCTAAACTGGATCCTGGATGTTAGGGTTATGATTGAAGCGTATCGAAGGTGAGAGTGCGAAGGGTGGAATGTGGGAGAGAACGTGGGCAAGAAGGGATCAGAAGAGCAAGGTAGAACACGGGTTGTCACGAGACTTGGGACATGGTCCCGACCTGGGACATGTCTCCTAACACGGTTTGTCGTGGGACATGGTCCCGACCTGTCAATGGAATTGCACCCTAGGCATGGTAGCATGGCATATCCTTGGCCTCTCACGCTCCTGCCTTGCCTTTCCCTCCTCTCACTAACCCCACCCACCCACCTGGTTGCTCCACAACAGGCTGAAGGAGGCATCCTGCTGACAGTGAAGACGCTGGCTCTGAAAGGGATGCTCCTAACATCCTTCAACTCTCGTCCCCTCTCACTCACTTAACACCACCTGCCCCACTCACCCACCCCCTCCCCTTGCCCCACAACACGCTCTGGGCGGCATCCTAACAGTGAAGTCGCTGGCGCCAGAAGAGCCGCTCACTGCAGTCATCCAACGTGCCTTGCCTTCCCATCCTAACATTGTTCAGCACCCGTCCCCACCAACCCACCCACCCACCCACCCTCCCGCCCGGCCGGTCCACAACAGGCTCTGGGCGGCATCCTGACTGTGAAGATTCTGGCTTTGGAAGGGCTGCAATTTTGAGGCGCCGGAAAACCACCCATCCACCCACCCCCCCGCTCCACAACAGGCTCTGGGCGGCATACTAACTGTGAAGACGCTGGCTCTGGAGGGGCCGCTCACAGCAATCATCCAACGAATGAGACGGACGGAAGTGTCCTTGTGAGTCCATCCCTCCAACTCCCGCCACTCTTGCCCCCCCCCCCTCTTGCCCCCCCCCTCCTCTTGCCCCCCCCCTCCTCTTGCCCCCCCCCTCCTCTTGCCCCCCCCCTCCTCTTGCCCCCCCCCTCCTCTTGCCCCCCCCCTCCTCTTGCCCCCCCCCTCCTCTTGCCCCCCCCCCTCCTCTTGCCCCCCCCCCCTCCTCTTGCCCCCCCCCTCTCTTGCCCCCCCCCTCCTCTTGCCCCCCCCTCCTCTTGCCCCCCCCCTCCTCTTGCCCCCCC